AATATTTTAATAATGACAGGCAGATTTTAGTTTGTTTTAAGGAATGTACTGAGATTCGAAGGTTAGCTTCGCCAGAAAATAGTGGATTTTCCTTGGTCTTTAGTTATTTAACTATAATTCGGCAATTCGGCCAAAGCAGTTCTCAGGACACACTTTATTAGTATATTGAAAATGTGCAAAGCTTTTGTCAATCACAGGACAATTATCGGCAAAGTGCGAACTCACTTTCTACGACTTCGCGCTAACGATGAGTTATACAAACTAATCTGTTCCTGTTAAATGAAGTATAATAGTTATTATCAAACCGTAGAGCTGAACAAAAATTAAAAAATAAGGCAAACTATTATTTATCCTGCACACCGGCAAGCAAGGCCTTCTGAATCATTAAATTGGGGAGGCCGAGTGGTTCTTTCTGGGCGCAACATCCGGCATGTAATCCTAGTAGGAGCACTGGCTGCGCTAGGAGGAACAAATATCCGAAGACCAGGATGACGACTACCGCGCATTGATCCACCACGTGCATCGACCAGGAAAGAGACAAGAAAACTGAAATTCGAAGGAAAATTAAACATTTGAGTTAGGAAACGCAAAGGAAGAGAAATACGGTTTCTTATCAGAATAAAGATTAACAAGAACTTAGTGTAATACAGAAGATATGAAGACCAGAATGTTATGGCCCCTGTTTGGTTGCAATCGCCTTTCGATGTAGGGAAGTGATCTGACCTCATTTTTGAAACTTGGCTGTGTTGGTAAGGAGATCTAGTTGGACACATCTTATCTTAAGTCCTCAGCTATAGTAGATAGGACATCAATCCCTTGACCGAGGTTTTACTGAATGGTTGTGCTATCCCTCCTCCTTTTGTCCTGGCCCATCTAGCTACTTTCTATCCTCTTATCGCACTCCCGTATTATCATAATTCCTGATTTATTTATATTCCATTCTTCTAGAGATGTGCCCTTTACATACAATTTAAGTAGGACGTTATCATGTCTGCTTTATTATCTTGCCTACCTCTTACTCCAAATTTGCTTATCTATCTCGGGCCTCCTATCTTAATCATCCTCATGGACCTGGAGGTTCGTTTATTATATTACTGGTAGACTGAATTTACTGGGTTCTAGTCAGAGTAAACGTTTTGCCCAAAGGTCTATTTCTCATAGTCTACTACAAGCCATTGGGACACATATTGTGGCCTCATCGAGCAAAGAACCTAGGCTCAGATTCCCATTATTGCAGATATAATTATTAAGGAGACTTTCATTGCGTATGAAAGTGCGCGATAAAGTGATTCCTAGTTTGGTCTCACCAGGAGACGACGGCCGATTCTTGTTGCTCTGCAGCCATTTATTTTTAATACCAGGCTTATGTTGACGCAGTCCATAAGACATTC